CTTTAGAAATGACAGGCAGAGTCGCCGTGTCCCTGAGGGCTGCCAGAGAGAGAGAGCAGGTCAGCGTGAGCTCTGTCTCCAGCAGGTGAAGCCTGGGGGTGGGGTGGGGGAGGGGCGCTTTGAGGGGGTCCGGGAGGGACATCGCTGACCTTTTCCAGTTAAGAAACTCAGCAAAGGGGAGGGGGAGGCGGGAAGTCACTCGGCCCCCTCCTGTCTCCAAATCCTCATTCAGGAGGCAGAAGCAGTGATTTCTTGGGGTCCCGGCTGCATAAGGAGTCTGCAGCCTGGTCCTGATCTTTCCTGGAAATGTCTGCAGGGGCTTGATCAATGGTCACACCCAAAGCCAGTTATGGGAATTTACTCAGTAAGTCGAGGCCCATGGAAAGATTGTAAAATTATCTGAATGTTGGCAGCAGCTAACAGCACAAGTTATTTTTGCCTCCTGAGCCTTGTCCTGTAGCTGATGGGGGAAAGAGGGGGGTTTACCAAGGGTACTGGCAAGCCCAATTTTGATGGGGCAAAATCCAGCACTAGGCCACACCCCACACCTTTGCACACCCTAGAAACGCCCAGTCCCCCAACAGAGCAGCTATTTAAGGAGCAGGCATTCTGGAAAGCCGGCATTAGCTTGACATTAACAACTCCAGCTTCTTCTGAGAGGTAAATATCCATAGTTTAATTCCTTGTGGGGAAAACAAGAGATCTTGCCCACTGGCCAACTCCGAGGGGGGCCTGCTGGGTAGGTGGGTGTCTGTGTGTGTACCTGTTAGAGGATACATGCATATATGTGTCCAGGTGTGGTATGGTTAGTGCTGGAGGGTAGGTGTACAAAGCACGCATATGGGTAGGTAGGTAGGTGTATGGTCGAATGGCATCTGCTAGCTGTTGCGATCCGGGTGTGTATGCACACAGATATGTGTTTGTGTACGGGAGTGTGTGCAAAGCTTTCTGGAAGTTTCCAAAGAAAGGATGTTGCTTTAACTTTGAGGCCATGGAAGGCATCCCCCAAAACAGAATCCACTGTGGGGACAGGTGTGTCTAATGGGGGACACATACCTGTCCCCCCCAGGGAGGCCCCACTTTGTCAGGATCACCTGGCCACAGTCTTCCAGGAAAGCTCAGTCCCAGGAGCCTGGGGCTCCCTGGTGGATCATGTGGGAGTCTGGGGGTGGGAGCCAGTCCGTGTGTGTGTGTGTGTGTGTGTGTATGTGTGTGGGTGTGGGTGTTTGTTCCCCAGAGCTGGGAGCCTCAGGGATCCTGCGCGTGCACACCCCGTGCCTCTGTGTGGTCATCAGCCTGCACAGCCTGGCGGGGGCCTCTCGGGGCCCTGAAGTCTCCTCCAGGCCGGGCAGCGTGAACACAGAGCAGGCGGCAGCAGCGGCCCCCAGAGAGGCCCTGGCCAACCTGCCCACATCTCCCCACACAGAACCCGGCATGAGGGCCCTCCTGCTGCTGGCGATGGTCATGGCCTTTGGTGAGAGCTGGTCTCTGGGCGAGGGGAACAGCCAGGAAGAGCCCCACCCTTGCTTCAAGTTGCAGCAGGCTTCCCTCAGGGCAGAGAGAGAAAGCCCATGGGTGGGGCCGGAGCTAGGCAGAGGGAGCCCACGAGGGAGGGAGGACGGGAGGCCACGAGGGAGGACGGGAGGCCACGAGGGAGGACGGGAGGCCACGAGGGAGGGAGGACAGGAGGCCACGAGGGAGGACGGGTCCCTGCTGCATCACCTGGCAATCTCCTTCCAGGCCTGCAACAAGCCGACGGGGCTTTATGGAATTTCTGGAAAATGGTTACGAAGGCGATAGGAAAGGAAGGAGCATCCGGTTATGGCTTTTACGGCTGCCACTGTGGTGTGGGTGGCAAAGGCACACCCAAGGATGCCACGGATTGGTGAGGCCACCCCACTCCAGCCTTCCCCGGCCTCTGTGGCCTGGACAGGGCAGGAGCCCAGGCGTGCGGTGGTGCCATCGGCCCAGACCCCGGCAGTGCTGGCAGAGAAGCAACCAGCATGTTACAGGACGCACTAGCGTGTGCCAAAGCCATGCGGTCACTGCCAGGGCTAAGGGCATAAACCCAGGGGTCACCAGGGTCCCTGATACTGTAGGCCCGAGCCCCAATACTGCATTCTCGCCACAGGTGCTGCGTTGCGCATGACTGTTGCTATGCCCGGCTGGTAAGACAGGGGTGTTCCACCAAATTTGTGAACTACAAAGCTGATTACCGTGGGACCACCGTCACCTGTGGTAAGCAGAGTCCTCCAGCTCCAACTGTTAGTGGTGTCCTCGGGCCTGGCACTGTGCTGGGCACAGATGCAGATTCAGGCAACAGGATTCAGATTTTGTCCCCAAGCAGTAGGGAGCTCTGAACAAGGGAGTGAAGAGGTCAATTTGCAATTCTGAGGACTCCCAGGGAGCATTGTGGATGGAAACAGATGGACAAGGGGGCCAGTGAGAAAAGCCTGTCATGGGGCTGACAGGAGATTGTAAGAGTGTGGCAGAGAACAGTGGTGTCCAGCAGGGAAGCAGTGGAGAGTGAAATCCAGGGGCCTCTGAAGTAGAACCAGCCAAGCTAGGGATGGGGACTGGGAACTATGGTGTATGGAGGGGGAAAGACCCCAGGAGGAGTTCTGAGACCCTCTACTGAGAGCACACTCAGCTTAAGACCTTTAGGAACACCCAGGAGACAGGCACGGACGAGGTGCGGGAACCCCAGCACAGGGGCCGAGTCTGGACTGGGGCACAAAACAGGACGGGGCAGCAGAGAGCTGGGAGCTGCCTGAGCGCCCCACTATAATGTGAGAGACCCAGAACAAAGACGGAGGCGGGGTAGTCAGAGGGTGAGGAGAGCCAAGAGAAGGCCATGCAAGGAGGAGAGGATCACAGCAGACAGCTCACGGAGGTGAGGAAAGGACAAGGCTGCCGGGATCTAGAGACAGGAGAACCCGGTGGGCGGCTCCGTGGACGCTGTTTCCGTGGAAGGAAAGGAAAAGCCAGATTAGAGTGGGCTGGCAGCAGGTGGGGGGCGAGGTACAGGCGCTGGAGCTGGACAGCTCTCTGCGGACCGCTGACTTGAGCCAGAGGAGAGCGTGGGCGGCATCTGGGAGGCTTTGCCCGGTGTCCGCTGAGAGTCAGCCGCAAGCGGATGCCAGAAAGCCTGGGCGAGCACCCCACGCAGAGTTCTTCAAGGCCACAGCCACGCCTCCTACCACAGCGTCTCCACCACCCCTATATCTTCTACTACTTTGGGTGCAAATACACCCTGCAGATGGTGTATTTGGGTGCAGACTGGGTGACGGGAGGTTGACACTCCCAACAGACGCTGGGGAGGGCAGCGCCAGCGACCGGCGGTGTCCAACCCTGTCGCCAGGAGCCCAGCCCTTTCCCACCCTCCTCTCTGCCATGTTGGCCACACCCGCACCGGTGACGCCGGTACACGCGCCGCAGTGCCCAGGGATGGCCGCTCCCGGCTCCCCGCAGCGGAGGCTGCCCCAGTGCAGAGTTCTGAGGAAATTCACCTTCCAGGAGCCCGCCGCAAACGTCCCTGGCGCTTCATTGGCCAGAACAAGGGCGCATGCTCGCCAGGAGCCAATCACTGCAGAGGAGAGAGGGCGGCATGGCGGCCTCCACCAATCACAACCGGGTCCAGCCTCGGGGGCGGGGCCTTTGCCCAGGACACTTCTGCCATGGCTGAGGGCGAAGCTTAACAGAGACTCCACATGGCTGCTCTGTGACCCCATGGGGCAGGGGCCAGCTTCCCCGGGCATCCGGGAGTCTGTCGCCAGCAGTCACAGCTCTCTGGAGCCTAGATGCTTGTCTCGCCATGGAAGCCTCTGGGGGTGGAGTTGGAGGTGGGGGGCTGTGGCTCCCTCCCCCGCCCCCCAGAATGCCCTCAGAGGCCTCAGAATATTCACAAGCCCTCACCTGGTGTTTCTTTTGCTGTGATTTCAGCGAGACAGGACAAGTGCAAGAAACAAGTGTGTGAATGTGATAAAGCAGCTGCCTTCTGCTTTGCGAGACACAAGAAAAGCTATAATAAAAAGTACCAGTACTACGACAGCAAGAGCTGCCTCGGGGAGACCCCCAAGTGCTGAGCGCCCCACGCCGTGCCCCACGCCCATGCTGAGCTTCCTTCCTAGTCTCCTCCTGATCCCTTTCCAATCCCTGGCGATGAAGGACCCCCTCTGGGAGCCCGAGCCCGCTGGCTCCTGAGAGAGTGTCCGGGGTGAGGAGCCGGAGCCTGAGCCTGGAGCCTGTGCGTCTGCGCAGCCCGTGCCTCCTGGGCAGCGACTTTCCTGTCTCCCCTGTGCCCTGCAAGTCCTGTGTTCTGACTGCAGGAGCCAGGGGGCTCCGCGCGCGCCCTGGGAATAAAGCATTTCTTCAGAAACTCCGTGTGTGTGCACGCGCGTGCCCGACCCACCCCATGCCCTGTAGTGTGAGGACAAGCTGGCACAGGGCAGGAGGCTGAGCGCGCACACATGCAGACTGCAGTCAGACTCGGGTCCAACCCCTGCACCCCCACCCTGAGCTCCCTTCCTGACCCTAGGGGCCAGCTGCGGGGCCAGCTGCCCGGCCCGCAGGAGAAGTGGAAGCGGTAAGGAACGCAAGGCCCTGGCCAGCTGGTCTGTCCCTGTCAGGCTGTGACAAGGGACCCCTGGGACCCCTCTGCTCCCCTGGCCAAGCCGCTCTGCTGGGCCTGGGGGGAGACCAGCAATGCCAGTCTGGGGCAGGGGCGCTGGAGCCTCTGTCTTCTGGGCGGTACATTCTTGTCCTGTGTTGCCAGCTTGGGGCAGCTGTGCAATATAGTACTGGCCACCAGCTGGCCTCTGGGGTACCCCCCCACACACCCAGACTGGTTCCTGGACAGGCAGCCGGTGCCCAACCCACAGGGCGCCCTGCGAGTTCCTGCTGGGCCACAGCCATCTTGGGCTTCCTGTTTCCTGGGGGTCCTGCATTTATTTTGCACAGGGACGCACAAAATTTGCAGTTGGTCCTGCCCTCACCTGGATGTCAGGCCCTTCTGTCACTGGTTCCCACGGGGATAGTCCTGCCTGAACCAGCTCCAGCCCCACCTGGTGTTGGCTGTGATGTCAGGGCTGAGGTGGGTACAGCAGGGAGCGTGCCCAGGCACCATGGGTGTGGGCCGAGCTGTGCCAGGCGCAGGGCACCAAGCTTTCATCCCCCACACTGACCTCTTTCTGTAAGATCTTTCGGCAGAGGTGCCTTTTCCGATTCTGCATGAAATCGCTTCACCTATTGGCTTAGCCTGGTCTCGTCTCCTCTCGCGATAAGAGAAACCCAAAAGGTACCTCCAGGGAGGTACTATTTTATCTACGAGCTTGCCCAAGACACAAATGCGAGCTCCCTACTCTACTGCAAGGCTCTCTGCAGGCCCAGTGCCGGCTGGGATGGTAATGCCCACAGAAGGCAAGTGGCACATCTGTCCAAATCATAAATTATCCTTTGGGTAGAGATTCCACTTCTGAAAATCAGCCTTATAAACATACACACAGAGAGAGCTTGGCTTGTCGTGACCACATGGGGATCCCGAAGGAGCAGGCCCTTGGGGACACCCACCAACCACTCTCCCAGCACAGGTCCTCACTGGGAGCAGCTGCTGAGGTGGGCGCTGTAAGGATGACAATGGCTCAGAGTCTTAAGGCTGAGTTTCTCACTTTCCTGGTGGACAGTGTCATTGAGGGTTCAACATCAAACCATGAGAACTCCCCTTCATTCTGATGGGAATGTAAATTGGAAATGTATCAGGAGAGTGGGTAAGTAAATAACAGCACTCCTCTAGCATGGAATGTTCTCAGCAATAAAGAATATGTTACTGATCCAATACTAACATGAGTTAGTTTCATTGTTATTGTCTGAACAGAAGGCAAACATAGAAGAGGACATACCATACAGGATTCCATCACAGGAAGTTCTGAGCTATGTGAAGATAATGGAACAGTAGTTTCCCCAAGGAAAATTCATTGCTGGCCCTAACCCCCAGTGCCTCCAGATGTAACCATGTTTGGAGACAGGGTTTTGAAAGAGGTAATTAAGGTAAAATGGGATCATTAGCTTGGAGCCCTAATCCAATCTGAATAGTGTCCTAACTGATGGTCAGAACACAGGAATCACATGTGAACACACAGGGAGAAGGTAGCCATTAAGCCAAGGAGAACAAAGCAACCCTACCCCCACCTTCATCTTGGACTTGAATCCTCCAGAATTGTGAGAAAACAAATTTCTGTTGTTTAACCCACCCAGTCCTTGGTTCTGTGGTGGCAGTGCAAACAAACACATACACCCATGCAGGGAACACCAGAGAAATTTCTGGGCCAGGAACACCAGAGAAATTTCTGGGAGATGTAATTATTCTATAATGTGATGACGTGTGTTACATGGGTCCATCTGTCAAAGTTGTCTAGCTAAGAATGTGCACCTCTATATTTTACCTCTAAGAAAGAACTGATGATGGTGGTGATGATGATGGTGATGTTGGTGGTGGTGATGGTGGTGGTGATGATGGTGGTGATGGTGATGGTGGTGGTGATGATGGTGGTGATGATGATAGTGATGGTGGTGGTGATAATGGTGGTGGTGGTGGTGATGATGG